AGTGAGAAATTAATAAATGTTTGTGTTGCCATGGCACCGGGTTTCTCAGGCATTTTCTTCCAAAATCGGTAATTTTTACTTAAACAATGAACTTTTCAGGCTTTATGTTAATTTACACATGCTTGCTAAAATGTTTATAATTTTATGTATGCTTGATTCCACAGTAATCTCTGCCACCGGCGAGTGCGGGGCGAACCAAACCGTCCTGACGGTGACGTCAGAGGAAGGCTACATCTACAGCCCGGGTTACCCCGTCAGCAGCTACCCTCAGGGACTGGACTGCACCTGGCTCATACAGGCCGCACCAGAAAATGTAGGTGTCTTTGTTTGCTTGTTTGTTTGTTTGTTTGTTTATATGTTGTTCCATTAATATGGTAAATACTATTTTTCCTGGAGTCCAGCAACATGAAATAACAATAATAATGATAATGATAATAGTTACTTAAATAACTCATATCAAGGGATTGACCTAGGTGTTTAAACTGTTCGTCTTGTATGTTTGTCAAAACTTAATAAAGATGATTTTAACTCTCATAAAACAAAGATCATCTCGGTGACGTTCCTGGACTTCCAGCTGAGCTACACCACCAGCTGTGACTACGCCACGGACTTCGTGCAGATCGGCAACAGCAACGACACGTACGACTTCAAGGTAAGGAGTTCTTTATTGTAAGTTCGTTAAATAGAGAGAGCTGGAGAGCTGTATGTGATGGCATGCAGCCCAGCTGATAGCCCGCTAATGTATGTATGTATTGCAAGTTCGTGTCCGAGCGAGGGCTAATTGCAAACAGACATTGACAAAAGCAACGAACACAGAATGTGGTGAATTTAAGATTGTTATTATGCTAACATGGAGTTATACGGTTTGCTTATTTAACTTACTGTATGTTCTTTAAACTAATATAACGTTAATATACAGGGTAAAGAGTGGATATGATTCACAAAAATGACACATGGTAACTGCTATTCTATTCTCAAGTACTGCGCGAGTAACACTCCCGGGGACCGGCCGTTCGAGAGTAAAGGGAACCAGGTGTGGCTGTCGTTTCAGACGGGACGGTGGACGAACAAAGGCTTCTGGCTAAAGTACCAAAGTAAGTACGCTGTTTTGAAAATTGTCATTACCATGATCATCATCATCATCATCGTCCGGCTGCGGAGCAGTCGACCACAAGTCTTCCCCACGACCGTCGATCCGCCGCCAGGTTGGCAATGTCCTCTGGCCGCAGGTCACCCTCGGTGTCCCCCAACAGGCTCCGGACGTAGCCCAGGTAGTCGAGTCGCTGGCGCCCTGGGCGTCTTTTGCCGTGCGTCGGTACATACAGGGCATATGTTCGGCATGGTTCCCCCACAGGCATTCTAAGTGCATGTCCCAGGAAACGAAGTTGACGCTGCCTTACCATGGTGATAAGGGGTCGAGTGTTTGTCAACTTGTAGATCCAGGCGTTGCTCACATGGTCTAGGCGCTTGATGTTAAGCATGACCCTATAGCATGATGTGGCGAACGCGTGATCATACCATGATCATATACAGTATGTGGTGTATGACGAGCCTATCGAGCCGGTGCAGATATGCAAAAGTATGTTGAGCCCTGGCACTCTATGGCAACCACTTCTTTCCCATCCCTGCCGCAGCTGTAGGCCGACCCATGGCTAAATTACGTAACTCAACACCACAACACCAGTTGCCATGGTGACAGACGTCTGGTCCAGGTCATTGACATGTGTTTGAACGGAAGATCCATAAACCATTAGCAAAAATCATATGTTCCCTTCTGGGAGAGTGCATGAAGATACATGAATACGTAAAGCGTACATAACAATATTGATAGCGTTAATAAATAAATAAATAAGTATATAAATTATGGAATCTACTTGACGACATTAAATCACATTCATAGTTATCGAATTCCATCCACTTCTGTCCCATCCCTCCCTCAGCTGTCGGCAGACCCATGGCGGCGGACCCAAGGAACTCAGTCCTGTCTCAGTCAGGTAACGCCGCGGGGACGGGAAACGAATTTACAGGCGAGGCTCCGTCCGACGGTTAGTGCGAGCTTTTTTTTTATTTTTTATTTTTTTATTTTTTCATCTGCTTTATGAGTCACCACAAAACAAGGCTCGTGAGAGCCACTCAAATGTTTTGGGTTACTGTACAGTCAGTGAGGACAGATGTTTGTTGACCTTAGACTTGAAAAGAATAACACCTAAGGCTTCCTCCTACTCCAGCACATCCATTCTGTTACGCCAAGTGTGCAGGCCCGTAAATTTCCGTGCACATGCACGGCGAGCACGAATCCGGGAGTGTAAGGAAATATCCGGGCCGGTACACGCGGAGCCCGGAAATCCATGGACGCGACCAGGACACGGCGAATTTCACGGGTGTTTGCGGGCCTGGAAACTCCTGGAAATGTCATTTTTGAAGCAGTGTTAATTATTCTATATTCTGTTTCGTTCGATTATCATATTCACTTTCTGTATTGTTTTGTATTTTATACGCATGTACAAATACTCTAGCAGGTGGAAAATTACACCATAGAATATTAATCAAGCGACTGGGTAGATTCTCTTATGTGTTAGACGTCGTGCCAGATAGCATCTGCTATCTCTTATCAGTAACAGAGAGCTATTCATATTCTCATTATGAAATACACCTAAGCCTCAAATAATTAGTGCTTGTTGAATGGCCTTAAGGACGTACCTACGTGAATTATTTCTATGGGGTCTCATAATGACACGATTTACAGTGCATAAGATAAAGATTAAAGCAATTCTCTTTTTATATATTACTGCAGTAGAATGCACTGATTTATCACATTGTATCGTCCGGGTACGGAAAAATATTGTTTTGGGTGGCTGAACTGTGTGTTTGTGTTTCTGTTTGTCCGGATAGGGTTGGTTGTCAGCACTCGGGTGGGGGGAGATTGATTGACGGGCATAATGGCAGTTTAAAACGTTAGACACAGGAAATTTGTAGAGTTTGAAGGTTCCAAGAAAAGAATTTGGCCGGAAGCCAGTAGGAAATAGATATTGGTTGAATTGTGGGAATTCAGAAAGCCATCCTCCAACACTGAACGGTTT